ATATATATATATACATATATATATATACATATACATATATATATATATACATATATATATATACATATATATATATATATATATATATACATATATATATACATATACATAATCTTACACACATAAATATATATATATATATATATATATATATATATATATATATATATATATTTAGAGAGAGAGAGAGAGACATAACATACTAGAGATGACTGTATAGTCCGACTGAGATACTACCTTGCATTTTGGGGGGGAGCTAATATGTTTTTTGACATGTTGGTAATCACCTTTGACTTTTCTTGGCTTTTCTCTCTCATCTGCGCTGGTACCTGTCCCTCTTCCTTCCCGTCCCCTCTGTATACATAACAAGTATGTCCATGCGAGCGAGCCACTGACTATATTCGTCTCGCATATAAGAATATCTTGAAATAGGCGCAGTGAAGCACATTGGCCAGCTTCAGGCATTATCATCAGAAATCACTGAACTGCTACCCCGAACCTAGTTCTTTTGAAACGTAACTGAACCATGCGGAAGACTAGAAACGCTTTCGGTGTGTACGAAACACCAAACGCGGTGCCTTGCCGCTATTCAGTTCAACAATAAGAAGACTTGGGCGATTTTCCACTCGACTGGAACAATCGAGGTGTAACCGGTTCAACGGAGAATAACACTGCTTGCTATAGTGTGGCACTCAGTGTAGAACCAACAAAAAAAAATAATAAACTAATATTGCAAAAAAAAAAAAAGAAAAGAAAAGTAAAACAGTGAGAGGAGACAATACAGAAGAAGAAATAGCGAGAGACGGTTTAGAAAACGGGGTCTTCAAGGGGCTAGAATCAGTCACACGTTGATCAGCTTGTGGATTTAGTTGTGGAAAAGGGGATCAATTCACTTCTTGGACATTCTACTTGAGTGGACAGTCCAACGGAAATCCGCGGGATTTAAATTATTGTTTTTCTCCTTCCAGAGTTAGGAAGGATTGACCATAGTTTGAAGTATTGGTCATTTATATATATATATATATATATATATATATATATATATATATATATATATCGTTTATGTTTTTCAGGAGCGTCAGGGGTCACAGTATCTGGAGATGCCACCTCTGCCGTTGATAAAATATTTCTCGAATATCACCTCACGTGTGTAAGACGCAACTATTTCAAGCACGGGAAACAGAATCAGCAAACAGGGTTCGTCTTTCAGTTGAGGTCTTTTCCTGTTCACCTTAAAAACGATGAATTTTTAAAAGGCATAAAACAAAATTTCCCTATACACTCTATGTCCGGTCGATAAATAAATTTTAATACATTATGTTAATCATCTGCGAGACATCTTTCTGCCATCCATCAGTAGGCTTATTCTAATTCTCGGGCTAACATTCTCGTTTGACTTGAAGAAGAAAGACTATATTGAATTCATTTCTAGGTCAGCTACTAAAAAAAGTTGTTTAACTATGTCTGGCTAAAAAGTTTTTTCTCTCCAGAATCTATCTTACATATTTTTACACGTGTTTCAGGTTTGTGACCGTCATCAGACAAAGAATGGATATTTTAATATATTATTAAAAGGAATTAATTTTCCTTATGTTTTTCGATTTGGTTACGATGTGGTTACCATTGCCTGTTTTATGTACTAAGTAACCTAATGTTTTCTTTTTTGGACCATATATATATATATATATATATATATATATATATATATATATATATATATATATATATATATATATATATATATATATATATATATATATATATATGTATATAATATATAGATAGATAGATAGATAGATAGATAGATAGATATTGACAATATTAGTAGTGAATAGAATAAATTATGACCACGGAATATTAGTGTTTAAGCCTTTTTTATTATATATATATATATATATATATATATATATATATATATATATATATATATATAAAAACGGAATATTAGTTTTAAGCTTTTTTTATATATATATATATATATATATATATATATATATATATATATATATATCGAGAATTCCTATTAAATAGAGGGCCAAATCTTGTCTAAATTATTTAATGAGACATGTCTAAATGAAAACATGCTGCCAAAACATACGCATTTATATATATATATATATATATATATATATATATATGTGTGTGTGTGTGTGTGTGTGTGTGTGTGTGTGTGTGTGTGTGTGCACACACATTTTTGCAAAAGTCCTTGAAAACCATACTATGGGTTAACCGAAGAAAAAAATTGGGTAGACGGAACTCTTCTGGGGCGTAGTCAGCACGTAGCCACAAGTCATCGTGACCGAGGGTTTTAACGTACTGGCCTTGTTCAAACTGTTGATCACGCTAGATAACACGCTCTCTCTCAGAAACTGTAACTAAGGTCCGGTCAGCATAGTTGTAGTACAAACCTCAGTTGGGCTCTGTAGGTGTTGAGCAAACACAAATGTGTTTGAGCGAGCGCCTGCAATAAAAGATTAGCTAGACGCCATAGTAGACAGGTATCAAAGAATACAAGTGTCCAGCTATATATATATATATATATATATATATATATATATATATATATAATAGAGGTATAATTGTTCCAAAAAGGGAAAAATATATATATATGTATATTTTGAAAAGGAGAGAGACACCGCAAACGTTTTTGTTTATAATGTGGATTTTTAAAATATATATATTATAGTTTATTTTCCATATTTTTACACGTGTTTCGAGTCTCGTGACCTTCATCAGGCAAAAAGTAGATTTTCCACCTATTATTAAAAGGAATTAATTTTCCTTATGTTTTTCGATGTTTAACCATTGTCTGTTTTTGTGGTAGTAACCTTGATGTTTCTTCTTGACTAATACATACACACACACACACACACACACACACATATATATATATATATATATATATATATATATATATATATATATATTTATATACACAACTATTTAAATCCGAACTCTCCGATAAGATTAAATTAGCGGCCGATGTAAAAAAAAACACATTCAGTATGTTGTACATTGGTGCTGAGTATGGCTTGTTAATTTTAAGGCCTTCAATCTAAACTGCTCTCTATTAATCATCTGAGAGAATCCTCTTAGGAGTCTGTTCCACGAAGTAACAGTTCCTGAAAAGAAGCTATCCGAGAGGAACTTACTCCTTACTCTGGTAATACGAATATTAAGTGATTTTTTTCCATGTTTTCCATGTCGACAATAAAGTTAATATAAAGGTAATTTACATTAACCAGAAAAAAAGGCTTAGACAGAAGCGTCTATCTTTTTAAATTTGTATTTTTTTAAATGTAACTATAACAACAAAAACATTTCGATTTCATTTTTGCCTTGAAAAAGTCGGAAGACAAAACGCGTCGGCAAAATCTCAGATTTTTTTTCCAATTGTCATTTTATACCAATCTGTCTTGTTCACAGAATTGATCTGGGAATTTAACTATATATATATATATATATATATATATATATATATATATATATATATATATATATACTTAAAAAAGTAAGAAAATAAATAGAGACATATTATAACATGCTTATTTAGATATTGCATTTCTTATAAAATAGGGATTACTTTTGAGTGATAGGCTACAAGTTTGGTTTTATGTAGGGGCGAGATTACACCTAACAAATTACCGAAGATCTGCTGTAAGGCTGGCATTAATAGCCACCACCATAATCCTCTTAAGTCATCTTGAAAAGAAAGTGATTAGCGATAGTATTTGCCAGGCCGCTACACTAAAGCAAGGTGTGACGCAAGATCGTATTGGAGAGCCCATACACATAAATATGATTATGGACCAAGGCAAAAAAGTTGTCTAATCCCCAAGACCACTGTCTCGTTGACATCGATATTACACCAACCCGACTTTTCTTAGTGCAATGAGGTAGGTGCTGCCGCGATTTTGGAACCCCGGGAACCAGGAATCATATACTATTTAAAATAAGGAGAAAAAAGATACTCCACTTAGTATTTAATCATCACCAACAGTGATGGGATGTGGCACAAGGCTGGTTTCAAATGGGATACCCTAGCGCGTGCACATGGGTCCAAGTCCAAGCCCGATTTCTGCACCCACTGACCCTACCTCTTTAGATGACTGAGAGAACGTATTGCCGCAGGGTTGGAATCCCACGGACCAGACATCCTCCATTTATTTTTTTTTGTTCTGTACGAAGACAGAGGCACGCTTGAAAGATAAAATGTAACCCTCTCGAAGGCAGATACTACACTTAACCGAGTCCGTAGGCCAGAGAGCATGCGCTCGGAATTTACTTATCTTCAAGGTCGGTAAAATATGGGTGACGATACACTTACATATAGTCAAAGGGGGCACTTCAACGTTTCATAATGGTTAACAAGCTTGTCTTGCTCAATCAACAGCGACTGAATATTAAGTTTGATCCTCACTGGGTGCCCCATACTTTCGGCCTTGTAACACGTCTAAACTACGCTTACAGAATCATTTGAGCACTTTGACTTGATGGAATGGTTAACAAGCTTGTCTCGTCACGTCAATTACGACTGAATAAGGACTTCGATCCTCACTGGGTGCTTCATTATTTCGGATTTGTAACACATCTAATATACGCTTAGAAAAGGCGGCATTTCGACGTGGTGTAATGGTTAACAAGCTTGTCTTACTAGATCAATTACGACTGAATAGTGTGTTCGATCCTCACTGGGTGCTCCATACTTTCGGCCTTGTAAGACATCTAAGCTACGCCTTGCCTTATCACTGTGGTGAAATGTGGCAAAAGTTGTTTTTAATGTGGGGTTCCCATGAGTGCACATAAGGGCCAAAGGTCATGAAATGCCCAGTTCCAGTGTCATTGTTACCCACCAACAAGATTTAACTACGAAGACGAAAAGGGCCAGAGAGGTTGAAGAACAGACACATTACACTTTAGAGGAAGGAAGGGAGATGGATAGATACATAGATACATAGATATGAGTAGGTTAAAATGAGATAGATATTAGTAGACTAACATTAGATAGATAGATAGATAGATAGATAGATAGATAGATAGATAGATAGATAGATAGATAGATATGAGAAAACTGAAATTATATAGACATGAAAAGACTAAAATTAGATAGAGACATAGATATGAGTAGACTGGAATTATATATATATATATATATATATATATATATATATATATATATATAGATAGATAGATAGATAGATAGATAGATAGATGTGGGGAGACTCAAATTAGATAGATAGATAGATAGATAGATGAATAGATAGATAGATAGATAGATAGATAGATAGATATGAGGGGACTCAAATTAGATAGATAGATAGATAGATAGATAGATGAATAGATAGATAGATGAATGTGGGGGACTCTAATTAGATGGATGATGGATAGATAGATGGATGGATAGATGGATGGATAGATGGATGATGGATATGGGGGACTCAAATTAGATAGATAGATGAATGAAGATGGATGGATGGATGGATGGATGGATAGATAGATAGATGTGAGGGGACTCAAATTAGATAGATAGATAGATAGATAGATGGATAGATATGATGGGGACTCAAATTAGATAGATGGATAGATGGATAGATGGATGGATAGATAGATAGATAGATGTGGGGAGACTCAAATTAGATGATAAATGAATAGATAGATGGATAGATAGATAGATAGATAGATGAATGAATGTGGGAGACTCAAATTAGATAGATAGATAGATAGATAGATAGATGGATAGATAGATAGATGAATGTGGGAGACTCAAATTAGATAGATAGATGGATAGATAGATGATAGATGGATGATGTGAGGGAGACTCAAATTAGATAGATAGATAGATAGATAGATAGATAGATGTGGGGAGACTCAAATTAGATAGATAGATGGATGGATAGATGGATAGGATGGATGGATGTGAGGGGAGACTCTAATTAGATGGATGGATGGATGGATGGATAGATAGATAGATGGATGGATAGATGGATGGATGGATGTGAAGAGACTCAAATTAGATAGATAGATAGATAGATAGATAGATGGATAGATAGATGTGGGGAGACTCAAATTAGATAGATAGATAGATGAATAGATAGATAGATAGATAGATAGATGAATGAATGTGAGGGGAGACTCAAATTAGATAGATAGATAGATAGATAGAATGAATGTGGGGAGACTCTAATTAGATAGATAGATAGATAGATAGATGAATAGATAGATAGATGAATGTGGGGAGACTCAAATTAGATAGATAGATAGATAGATAGATGAATGAATGAATGTGGGGAGACTCAAATTAGATAGATAGATAGATAGATAGATAGATAGATGATGTGGGGACTCTAATTAGATGATAGAATAGATGGATGGATGGATATAGATAGATGGATGGATGGATGAGGGGGACTCAGATGGATGGATGGATAGATAGATGGATAGATGGATGGATGGATGGATGGATAGATGGATGTGGGGACTCAAATTGGATGGATAGATGGATGGATGGATAGATAGATGGATGGATGTGGGGAGACTCAAATTGGATGGATGGATAGATGATAGATGATAGATAGATAGATGGATGGATGGATAGATGGATGTGGGAGACTCAAATTAGATGAAAAGAAAGAAAAGAAGAAAGAAAGAAAGAAAGAAAGAAAAAGAAAAGATATGAGGAGACTCAAATTAGATCCATTATGTTTATCCATTACACCACCCGCACATCCTAGGTTAAAGCATCTGGTATTCCCAAGCGGTTACCTGTCTAGGGTATGACCTGACTCGGCGTTGCTTAACTTCGGTGTTCGTACGAGAAGGAAGTTCTGAGAAAAAACAGTAAAATATCTTTTCCTGTTTATGTATTTTTTATCATTACAACTCTTGTAATTTACCGTTCGCAATTATTATTCATATAATGCCCCACCCAGTTTTGTTAACGAGTCTTACTCACCCAGGGAAAACACGAAAAATCGAATACTTGTAAGTATTTAATTGTCTAATATCACAATAACAAATATGCAGCAATTAAGGGAAACCGATTTCTTTAAGTTAAAAAAAAAAAGCAAATATTCGATCTCCAAAGAAAAACATTTAAAGACAATTATATTTTTAGAGCGTAAGAATTCTTTGGGAGATATTAATAATTTAGTGATATTAGTTTTACTAATTAAGCTGAGAAAGAAAAGGTAGATGCATACTTTTCCCAGGTGTATTTACGCATAACGAAGTATAACAAACGGAATTCGAACTCGGTTCTCCGATTATCAATTTCGAGCCAGTATCCATTACACCACCCGCACATCCAGGGAAAACTCCAAAAATAGAATATTTGTAAGTTTTTAACTGTCTAATATCGCAGGGTAGGAACGGTGGAGTAAAGGATAGCGGCTCGGGTTGAGGAATCGGAGAGCCAAGTTCGAATTTCAGTCGAATCCATTACATTGATTTACGTGGGAATGGTATGAATCCTCTTCTTCTCCCCCCAGCTATGGGTAAAAAGCTGGACAGCCGTAGATTACAACTATACAGTCATGTATCGAAAGATAAATGATCGCCTAGGCGTGTAACATGTGTGGTACTGTAAAAAAATATCGTAATAACAACGATTCCAGCAATTATATATCAAAGGCAAAGCATGAAGAGATTTCTTTAAGCTTAAAAAAAATAAAAAATACAGGAATTACGGCGTCCTGGGTATGACGATAACCTACATCCGCGTCCTGGGTATGACGATAACCTACATCCGCGTCCTGGGTATGACGATAAACTACATCTGCATCTTCGGTATGACGATAAGCTACATCTGCGTCCTGGGTCAAAAATAAACTACATCCGCGTCCTGGGTATGACGATAAACTACATCCAACAGCAAGGCCTTTGATAATATGTTTTTGAAAATGTAATGTTACCAGCTATACGTTTTTGAGAAAATAATGTTGCCAGCTATACGTTTTTGCAAAAAATATTACCAGCTATACGTTTTCGAAAAACAAAACAAAACAATATTACTAACTATACGTTTCTGAAAAAAATATTACCAGCTATACGTTTTTGAAAAAATAATATTACCAGCTATAAATTTTTGAGAAAAAATATTAACAGAAATAGATTTTGACAAATCAAAAATACCAGGAAAAAAAAAAGTTGTCGGCATTAAATGACCCGTTAAGGTTGATCTGCTGTAAAACAAACCAACCCAAACCAAACAGGAATTCCTCGATTAGTGAGGTTAATGTGTTTATCGGTAACAATAAAAAAAAAATCAATTTTAATTACTAAAAATAGAAAATTTTGGCACAAGTCCGAAGGGGAAATGGGGAGAGACTGGTCTTCATTTTCTATCTTAGTTCTAGTTAATTAGACTCACGACCCATTCATTCATTACAATTTATTCATTCACCAAAAGAACTCATCCATCACCATTCAATCCTGCACACACCACAATACCACATATACACTAGGGTCCTACAAAACACCCCATGAATTAAAAATTTTAATTTATATAAATAAAAATCCCATGAAAACATGAAATGATGGGGAGGGGATATGAACCCCAACAAGAAACTCAAAATATCAACCAAAGACAAAACGAAAACAAAACAATGTTAGTGGGAACCGTCCACCCCCTCAAAATAATAAGAGTGGCCGCTGTATTCTGCAATTTTTCCTGTACAGTACTAAAAATGCCACATTTTTTTTAATTCCTATCTTTTTCTAATTGGTGGATATATTCTAGAGATGTAAATACTTTTGTAGCCGGACTTCAACAGAGCTCCAAGCAAGAGATGGGATAATCTGAAAGAAGACAATATAAAAGGTTTTTTTTTTCCATATGTTGGCAAATTTTAAAATTATCTATATAGTATCCCGCTGCTTTTATCAGTCTTTTTTTTTACTTACCCACGTTAAATAGAATTTTTTTTTCCTTAAAATCATAAAATAGTGACACCAGAAACTAAACAAAGGCCAATGAGAAATCAAAGTATTTTCTTTAAATGTCAAGTTCAAAGTATTCGATTTGATGAAAAGTTCATTGCCAAAATCCATTATGGTAAGAATGAATCTTCTATCCATCACGTAACTCTTACTATAGTATATTGCCATAGTAGTTAGTTTATAATCTTACTGAGCCTAATTCGTAAACTAAACTGTATCTTATCTATGTAGTGGAACCATTGGAAAACCGTGTAACGACGTCCTGTTCACAAAACTGAAAACTTCAGTGCATCTTAAAACCTCAACTGATTGGCTAATACGTAGTTAGTACTGGTCACTTCTGCAAAACTATAGGTTTATATGGATTGATAAAAGAACTAGCGATGATAAATTTGAAGGCTCTTAAAGGCTTGGACTGAATACTTCCTGGCCTTCATTTGAGACCTAGGGAAGGACTGTATCTTTTAACTTGGTTTAGAAATGCTAAGCAAATAACTATCAACGTTTCCTACATTTTTTTTTCCTTAACTATTTTTTTAACTTCTGCTGAAAGGAACGGCTTTTTTTATATTTATAACTGCAGTTCCTACTGCATTGTCTACTATAGTAAAGTGTTATTTTATATTTTCGTAATCTTCGAATAAAACATCTTTTACAATTTTATCTCTGTAAACGGCTTAAGAACGAGAAGTGTTATTTCTCAATGTTGCAAACCTGATGGCTTAACGACAGAAGTTCTTTGCGTTGGTTAATGGCTTCCATCTCGCATAAATTAACTGAACCTACTTTCGGAATTCTCTGGTAGGTACGACATGTAAAGATATATTTTTGAATTTGTTATTGTGGGGGGCGGGTGTACGCTTATGGTAACTCCTCATTTAAAAACAATCTTGATAATACCATTCTTGGGGAGATAAAAATATAATCCCCCTTCCTGTCACAAAAAATGTACATTGAGAATTCTACAGTATCAGAAATTGAGGCACGTGCGAATGTGGGCATTGGCGATTATGGCTCTCCATGACTTCCCGTCCTTTGTAGCCCTTTATAATTTGTCTTTTTACTATATCTCCTAATCTGTTCTGCCAACCATTTACACAAGCCCGTTAGGTATGTGATGTGCTGCTTTTCTTTACCCTCATGCTTTCAGTGTCACGTGAGTTTCAAATTTTCTCAACTCCCTTTCCTCATGTGCCCTGGAAACTTTAACTCTTTCTATATGATACGTACAAATGTCTTTTTGTTTCCATTCTCTCTAAAATTTCGTCGCTTACATGTTCAATCAATGGCATGCTCAGCATTCTTCTGTAGAACAGCGTTTCTGTTGCCTCAAGTATGTGTTAAGGTCCAGCTTTCACTGCCATATAGAAGTACTGATATTATATAGCAGTTCAGAACTTTACAATTAAATGTTTCTGTTAATACTTCGCTTAACGTTTAGAAGGCATCTTTCGTTGTCCCAAAGTATTTTTGGATTTTAGTGTCGCATTTTCCATCCCTGTTTAGGTTAAAAGATAAAAAAAAAAAAAAAAAACCCGCTCTTCGCGTTCTTATTTGACAATTTCTAGCCCGTTCTAATTTTTTTTCTTCCGTTATCTCACGTTCGGGATGCTATTCAAATTTTTCTCTTATCTGGGCGAGTAATTGTGCGAATGTTTAGGTTTTATTGCAATTTTTCATTTTATCTTCCACATCTAGCAACAGTCAGCATTGGAACTACTTTACGGACAGTCCAGTATATCTCCAATAACAGATGATACAGAAAACAAGTATCCCAACTGTTACAGGAAATCCTTAATGTCCAGTTTTTGTCACTTGACCAGTTATTTTCCCTTTTTGGTTAAATGGATGGCCGCTTAGAAGGCCATATCTCGCGCCTACCTTCCTATGGGAATGGTATTTACTTAACTCCCACGGGGTCAAGATGTGACACAAGGTCGTTTAACGTGGAAGACCCAAGTGTTTCCACTCAAGGACCACTGGTCCAAAACTAATCATAGCTTGTCCAAGCTGGTCAGAGCCTAGTCAAAGCCGGTCATGACTTGTCCTAGCAGCTCCCGGCCGGAGCCAGTCCAAGCTAGTCGAAGCCTTGATCGAATCTCAGCCATAGGCCAAGAAACGATCCAATATTTGTCAAAAAAAAAAAAAATTTCGTCGGTCGAATTAACCTTCCTATGGGAATATTCCAATCATATCGCATCTGTCTTTTATATTAGTCAAATACAGTGTAACCCGGATATAAGAGTTGTCGGGACCGGAGAAGAAGTCTCTTATATCCGGGTTTGGTCTATTTTATATACAC